ACTGACTGCCGTAAAGCCCGGTGGTATGATGCCAAGGACCAGGATAGCTCGAACAACGAGGCAACTATCGACGCCAATTGGATGCCAACTGTGGAAATGAATAATAATAACGAAAATTCATTGCTTGTTGACATGACTTGAGAAACAGCTTTTGTTGAACTCTTAGTGACTATATTTAGGTTATACGTTAAAAACAAACATTTTCAATCTTGACATTTACCTTTAAAAAGGTGTTAATGCAGAACAGAAAACATTAACCTCTAATAACACTAAAGGCAGATAAATTAAAAATGTTAAGGTTTAACGTAGAACCTTACTCACCAATAACAGTAACCAGCAACTATATTAAAAGTACCAATGCATGAGTAATATATTAAAACGACTGTCATTTTATTCAAATGAGAGATTTTACATACTTGGGGAAAAACCCATTTCTTAATATGTGTTAAATCTGTCCAATAATCTTAGTTTGTTTATTGCTGTAATTTGATATGTAAGGGTTTCCGTTAAACATTAACACTTTTAATCTAGTTGTAGTTGTAAAGTAATACATAATCTTCTTTTACTCGAACCTCGTGTTAAATCTAGTAGCAGTTAAAGACCAGAGTATAGTTTTGTACTTTACTTGAACTTTGTGTTTAATCTAGTCTGCAGTTCGCGGGTTAATGCATTGAAACTACACTATTGCTTTCATTTATATATCTTGGTGTATTTAAAAATATCAACAATTGTGATTATTACTTCAACTATGACCTTTTTACCCCTAACGAACAGCTGTAACGAATTTATTTTTAATAACCATACCAACCTGTCCAGAAGTCGTAAGGAATCATCTGTCTGTCAGCTAAGATGTAGATTTGCAGAACTAACTGAGGCGCGGACTCCATTAAGCTCTCTAAAAGGGTCAGGAGTGCAGTATCCTTATCTTCTTGAATAGTGAGTTGATGATAGTCAACACTGTCGTCAATTGCTGTTTCTGTCGTCCTCCGGAACGTGAGGTCCCACTCTCTCGCTCTTCGTTGCTTCTGTTGTCGTTCTCTTCTACTTCGAAGTCCGAAGATAATGAGGTCAGTATACCTGGAACACAAACATAGGACCATTATGGCTTGCGTCGGAAAATATCTTGGATATCATAGACTTTTAATATCTACAAGGGAGAGCAGAAGCTGTTATTTCATCGAAGTATAGATCACGATTCACGCCCTCTAAGTAAAACAACGTAAAGTAAATTAAAGACTGGCAGTGAGGCATCATGAAGGTGTTGGTAATGCACCAACAAACTAGTTGGTTACTGTTGGGTAAGATTTTCTACTAGTTTAGTAGTAACAGCCCGGCATGGCCAGGTGGATAAGGCGCTCGACTCGCAATCTGTGGGTTGCGGGTTCGAATCCCCGTCCCACCAAACATGCTCGCCCTTTCAGCCGTGGGGGCGTTATAATGTGACGGTCAATCCCACTA